TAAATTTAAATTCAATTTCGAGCTTGTTCATATAAGAAAATTCAACTAAACGATAGAGTTTTAGCTTTGATGGGATTATTTATTATTTGTCTAGATCTGTAGATATCTTTGCTTAAAATTAGCTGAGCTTCTGGTAGGTAATGTATATATATATATTTGGATGCGTTCACACAAGCAGTTTATCTGCATAATTTGACCTTGGCAGTCGTCCCAAGTAGGAACTTCCTTTATATTCATTTAGATACAGGGATCAAGAGTTCTGATTTTCCATTCAGTTGGTGCTTTCACAAAATTGTGGAGCATTGAAAACTTCTTTTTTTTTTTCCATAGCTATCCTCTTCTTGATTTTGGTATTGACTTGGCAATCTTTAAGCTCTCAAAGGAAAAGAAATGCTTTAAAACTATGGTAATGTTAACATGTGTATTATTATATTTTTGTACAGGTTCGGATATGGAACATGTTATGCGTGGGCAAGGAATCTGAAGGTGACCAGTCAACTCAGAGAGTACTGGCTACTCTGCGTGATCACTTTGGGTCAGTGAACTGTGTCAGATGGGCTAAGCATGGTCGATATGTTGCATCAGGATCTGATGATAAGATCATTCATATTCATGAGAGAAAACCAGGAACTGGTACCTCTGAATTTGGTAGTGGAGAGCCAGCGGATGTTGAAAACTGGAAAGTTGCTATGACTTTGAGGGGACACACTGCAGATGTGGTAATTGATCTTCTTTGTCATGTTTCTATGGTGCTTATATCCTCTCCAGTTTCACTCTAACGAATTTCTTTTTTTCCCCATGTTTGAAGTAGGTGGATCTCAATTTTTCTCCTGATGATTCATTGTTGGCAAGTGGTAGCTTAGACAACACGGTCCATATTTGGAATTTGAGCAATGGTGCATGCACTACTGTCCTGAGGGGTCACTCTAGTCTGGTAAAAGGTGTTGCTTGGGATCCCATTGGATCCTTTATAGCAACCCAATCAGATGATAAGACTGTCATTATATGGAGAACAAGAGACTGGAGTCTTGCACACAGAACTGATGGGCACTGGGCAAAATCTGTATGTTCAGTCTCCTTAACCAGTATATTCTTGTCATCATTTTTTTTTCTTTTACTGAGAGGAAATTGTTTGCAGCTTGGTTCCACCTTCTTTAGGCGCCTTGGATGGTCACCTTGTGGACATTTCATCACCACTACTCATGGCTTTCAGAAGCCAAGGCACTCTGCACCTGTGTTGGAAAGAGGGGAATGGGCAGCCACATTTGACTTTTTAGGACATAATGCACCTATTATTGTGGTAAAGTTTAATCATTCAATGTTTAGAAGAAGTATTTCAAATGGTCAGGAAGCAAAAGCTTTGCCAGTAGGATGGTCTAATGGGACATCTAAGATTGCCGCAAAAGATTCACAACCCTACAATGTAATTGCAATAGGAAGCCAGGATCGCACTATAACTGTATGGACAACTGCGAGTCCCCGACCCCTCTTTGTAGCCAAGCATTTCTTTACTCAAAGTGTTGTCGATTTGTCCTGGTAATGGATGTCAAGCTAGTTAAATTTTATTTTAGTTCTTTATTGCTGCATTTTTTTGGATGTATCTGATAATCCGATTTTGCATTTCACATTATTCTGAACAGGAGTCCTGATGGATATGCACTTTTTGCATGTTCCTTGGATGGATCAGTGGCGACATTCCATTTCGAGGTAAAAGAACTTGGTCATAGGCTATCTGATGCTGAATTGGATGAGTTGAGAAGAAACCGATATGGCGATGGCAGAGGAAAAGTAACAAAGATGGCAGAAAGCCCATCACAGTTGTTGCTAGAGACAGCATCATTAAAAGAATCTGCAAACAAAAAATTATCACCTAGTTTACAAAATCAGACTACTGGAAAAAAATCAGTAGATTTGGTTGTAACAAATGTGGATCAGCCCCTTAAAAAGGTTTCCAACTCTCAAACTGAAAATGGTAAGAAAAAAGGCAGTAATGGTAGTGATAGATCAAATAAAATGGCAAATTCGACCCAAAAGTCTAGTCCTGTGAAGCTGAAGCAAAAGGAATACACTGGGTCTGACGGGAGAAAAAGAATTATTGCAGTTGGGTTGCCAGCTCAACCAGAACATACCTCTGGTGGAGTTGAAGCTCTAGCTGTTGGTTTCCCTCGTATTGCCTCAAATAATCAGAAGGATGTTAATGTTGGAGGTGGCCTTCAGGTAGGTTCTGTAAAGATAAATGGGAGCTCCGAAGAGTATAATCTTGCAGGAGGATCTGGTCATGGTGGGGTTAAGGAGCAATCTGGATATACAGCTAGGGCCACCATAAGTGAGAAGCTGGTTATTGAAAAAGTTCCTATCACTACAAGTGCAGATGCAAGGGCCAGCGTTGATCGTTCAGAAATTGTGAAAGCTTCTGATTCAAAACCTGTCTCCAGTTCTACTCTATCTATTACAGTTTACAACAATAAAGAAGGGGAAGATAGCATGCCAGTCTGCTTGGAAGCTCATGCAGTGGAACAGGCCATAAATGATGTAGTTGGGGTAGGAAATGTGTTGACGTCTAAAGAAACGGAAGTCACTTGTACTCATGGAGCTCAGACTATTTGGTCCGATAAACTTTCTGGAAAAGTAACCGTGTTGGCTGGAAACGCAAACTTTTGGGCTGTTGGGTGTGCTGATGGCTGTTTGCAGGTACATAAGCATATCCTCCCTCAAATGTGGTATCATTATGTTCTTTATACAATTTAGTTGATATAAGGAAATAATAGTTTTGCATAAAAGTTTTGAGCTTGCCGTCATGATTGGTGAGGCTTTTGCCATAATTTTATGAGCTGCCCTAAAATTTAAACACGTTTTGAGTGTTGATGCCCTATAATTTTGGGTGTGGGTGAAAATGTCTGTTGATTGTTCAAAATCAAAAGATTTATTTTCAAAGGATTCTATTGCATCATTATATCAGCTAAAATAATACAAAGACAAAGTCTTACGAATGATGTCTACCAACTAAAATGAGAACCTAACCAGGTACTTTTACCAATCATCAAGCCATATATACAAAAGAAAAGCTCTAACTTGAGGATATGCTAAATTCAATAAGAATCCCATCCAACACAAAATGGTCAAAGCCTCTAAACCTATGTAACATGGACATTCCATATTGTCAAAAAAAAATCCGTGTCGGATACATGGACACTTGACAGACGTGGCAGACACACATGCCGGACACTTACAAACTTATGCACATAATTCGGGTTAGAATTTGTAACGGGGATATATGAAGAAAAGGAAAGAGAGAGCAAGAATTTATCCCTTCGTCAAACTACAATCAAAGAAAAGATTTTTTGTACTACGCTAGCATGCCCTATGACCAAATAATGCAAAGCAAAAAAATCTTCGAATTAGCTTACCTCATCTGGTGTGTTCTCACTCTACTAGCAATATTGTTTCCCATATTTATGCTGGAAGTAGGAAATGGGTTTCAAAAGTCTTTTCCAAGGTTTTCTTTCCCGTGGTGTGCTTGGAGAAAATGTTTACCATGGACAACCACGTTAAGCAAAAGTATTTTGGTGAACTTTTCACAATCATGTATGTGATATGGTGAGTCAGTGGACCATGCTCTCTTCTGGAGATTTGTCCTCGACACCCGTTGAATCTCTTTACTTTATGGCGCATAAATAATCTTAAGGATTTTAAATTATAGGATAGATATATGAATTTATATCTTAGAATTAGATTGTATCAGATTATTCCTAGCTCTGAGCTCGGAGTCATGCTTCACTCTACTTGTGTTATGTTCTTGCAATCTTGCTTCATATCAAATGCATAATAATTGAAGGTCAAAGCAAACTTCTAGGGTTTATTTACTTTCTTCTTTTAATAGGCAATTATCTCAATATACAAATCAATTTCTAGAAAATTGTTGTTTGGAAAGGCACTTGTCAAAGTCTATCAGTTGACACCTACGTTTAATATATATCTTACATATACAAACATATGTTTCAGTAAAGAATCATGACTCATAGCATAATGAATTAATGATATGGCTGTACTCCACCCTCCCACTCATTATATGTGTATTGGTGTACCATATGCAAAATGTTAAACGTAATTATAAAGCATGTGCATGGCAGATTTGATCCCACTAGTTTCTGTTTATAACTTAAAGTTGAGAAATAAACTTGGTGTAACAAAATGGGTTTGTATCAGTAGTTTAGAATATATGCGTACGATACTTTGGAAGTGCTCTCCAGCTGTACCAATTCCATTGCAATCTTATTTTTAGATTGAGAGCCAGCTAAAATTGCCAAGAAAAACATAAAAATCTGATACCGAACTACTGCTGCAAAAATATTTGGCTGCATACTTGCAT